CTAGTAGGTTTCATACCTGGTTGTATGCTATGATAGTAGATTTCATACCTGGTTGTATGCTGTGCTAGTAGGTTTCATACCTGGTTGTATGCTATGCTAGTAGGGTTCATACCTGGTTGTATGCTATGCTAGTAGGTTTCATGCCTGGTTGTATGCTATGATAGTAGGTTTCATACCTGGTTGTACGCTATGCTAGTAGGTTTTACCTGTCGCCCTGTAACGTGGGAATGCTTGCGCATGTAAAAAGCCTGGCAACCAAAATCAATCGATTCGTACCGAATTTGTCTCACACTTTTGTAAAATTCCGTTGGTTAAACTATGCAGAGATCAAGCAGCAGCTCCGCAATGCACAGCTTGAGTTGAAGAAGTCACTGCGTAAGGACTATTACAAAATCTTGGGCGTTCCGAAAGACGCGGACGAGACACAAATCAAGAAGGCGTACAGGAAGGGAGCCTTGAAATGGCACCCAGGTACTACGATTGTGTATACGTCGTCCTTTGATATTGAAGTATATTTAGTTATTGAGGTTTCTCTGTGCGAGAAACTTAGTACGGGTGGAATTTCGATTATATATCGTGTTTAGCCGGGAGCATATCTCGGATGCCTTAGTCAGATCCAGAGCTTCTGATTGTCTCATGTTCAACACAAAAAGTGAAATGCTCGATTGCTCTACATAGAGAATGTAGAACGAAATTCCCCACTTTACGAAGCGTATGGTCTTTCCTGGTGGTTCTATTCACATATTGTATGGATTCTACTAAATCCAGACGTCTTCTGTATCCTTCTGAACGCGCGATAGCAAAGTCTTACCTGGAATATACTATTTTTTCTTCCTCATCGAACTTTGTAGATAAAAATCAAAATAACTTGGCGGAAGCGGACAAAATGTTCAAGGATGTCGGCGAGGCGTATGCAGTGCTCAGCGACCAGAAAAAGCGGTACAGATACGACAGCGGCGCGGATTTGGAAGACGAAGGCGGCATGGGAGGTGGCACGGGAGGTGTGGACGTCAATGAGATCTTCAGGTAAGCAGATGATTTAGGACTAGATATGATCTGGTTTATTCTAAAGTCGAGTTGCCCTTGTGTACTGTCGATTAATGGCTGACAATTTATGTATTTTCGTCATCGCAATGCCGTATGTGATTGGTGGGTATGCGCGTGAGTTGATGAGGTACACATTCCATCAGATTTTAGTTTTTGGCGTATTTTAATACGAATACGTGTCGTCCAATCAGTTTCAAGACATGCATGTATATAAAAATGCATATATTCACACACGCACACACACACAGACACACACGCACACACACACAGACACACAGAGGCACACACACACACACGCACACACACACACACACATATATATAATATATATATATACATACATTCATACATACATACATATATATATATATATATATGCGTGTCTATATCTATACCCATTTCTGCATATAGATCTATATTTAAATCTATCTATACGTATATATATATTCATATATATATATACATACATATACATACATATACATACATA